TTCATCCAATTGAATAGAAGTTCTGGATAATAAATTTGACATGCGTTTGGTTAATGTAACAGGATTGAAAAATTTTTCCACTCACGCGCGGCTTCAAATGACTTGAAAATGCGTTAGCCATTCAAAATGCTTGCCATTTTTTCGAATGATACCGTCTGTTCGAATTTTTGGCGAATTTTCTGACATGCTGGTGAAAAGAGTCAACAAATATTCGCGTGGTTATTGATGTCTTCCACACTATCCGACATAAGCTCTCATTTTAATTTAAAACGCAAGAACGTTTTTGAAATGGTCCCTGCTTTCAATGAATGATTTTTTAAACACAAAAATTAACGCTTATTTTTAGACATTATTGCCCTGCATTTGTACGCTTAGGTCATGTGTTTTTTTCTTTTCTTTCGTAATTTCCGAAGATCAAGAACAAAGGTCAGAGAGGATTTACCATATTCGGTTCAAAGTTCGTCGATGGTCGATAAGTCGCGGCTGCAAAGGGATTATTTCCACGTGCTATATCGCAATAAATTTTGAAAAACCTCGCTATATAGCACCGAGGTCACTCCTTGTGTTACGTCCTGGTTGGGACAAACTGCAATATAAATTCACGACATTCGGGGGCGAGGGAAGTTGATACTCGAGATTAGGCGAGGTCAACAAATCAAATCTTCTTTTCCTTCCCCCTCTCTCATCCTACATCATACACCCCGTTTGAACACATCCCGACAATGACAATGGAGAAGGCGTGTGCGTTTGTGATTGATGAGTTCTTTCCGGGAAAATAGGATGGGAAACGTTTTTTTTTTTAGACATTTCCAGCGACGAGGTCAGCGAGTTGTATTTTCTTGAATACCTATAAATCTTTCGCCAGCGGAGGAAACATTATATTATGTTTCGTGTTATCGAGCTGAGCCAGGCAGTCAACATTTTGAGGGACCTTGTACGCTTTATATTCGAGGAACATCCGTCAAAAATGCTTCTTGGCTTTTCTTTAAAAAAAAGATCGTCTTCTGCTCTTCATTATTCACAATGCATGTATTTCCTCGTTTGTTGTTAAAGTGATCTTCGTATAGCGTGAGGCAACGAAATTGAACCCTTAAATTGAGGGACAATAAAGCCTATTTTTGAAATTTTTGAACAGAATTATTTTTGTGCTGAGTGATTAGTTCAAAAATCTTCGCAGCAGGTTGACGTAGAAAATAAAATCCTTATCTTCCGCATTAAACTGTGCTGCATTGATTACTATAATAATGCTGAAATAAAAAATTAAATTCCCCTGAATAATTGGAAAATGTTGTATTGTCTTTGTGAACAGGTTTTAATTTATCATCAGGCATTTGGAATAAATAATTAGGGACTCCTCATTCCTTAAAAAAAATTTTTAGTTATGTTGCCTCCTCATTCTGGAAAGTTTCACTGTGCGTTTTTCGATATAATTTTTGCCAATTTGACTTTTAAGATATACAGTACAACAAAACCCAGCTGCTTTCAAGCGATCAAATTACTTCCCTTATTATACTGTTTATAGAAATACACCCTTATACTCTTGTGAGGATGCTGAACATTACAGCAAGCTGTAAAAATATTTCAAGTGGGATTTCATTTGAAAAAAAGGAACCCTTAGAAGGTGACCCACAGCATTTTATTTATATTTATCATCTTGCGTGATTTTTAAAATTTAGTAAACTTTTGTCATTGCCCGTCCACATTATCTTAGTCTCGAAATGCATGCTCCTTCTCTTGTACTTTCTCCCAAACAAACCGTGCTCGAAAGTTAGATATATTAGTGAACGTTTCTTGTCATCAGGAAATATTTCATAACAAATGCTGAACAGTTGGTCAATCGAACACAGCGGCACCTTCACGAATGACCGCGCAGCTAAATTGAGTTTGATGTGACCCAACAGCATCCCAGCATTTTTATTTTTTATTTTGAGGAACAGCGTTTTTCGGGGAACAATCCCCAAATTTACATGGTGGCATAGCTCTGAAATACCCGACGTCGACAGTTAATACGTACGTCGCTGCTGGTGGAAACTTTGAGCGCAACTTCCGGGATACCTAGAGAGTCGATTATGCATCATTAGCAGCTGATTCTTCTCCAAGCCATTTACTTCCCCTGTGTAACTTAGCGCTTATTGCGAAACTTTGAAAAAATATTTATTCACGAACACACGCAAGCGAGTCTGTGCATTTTTCGTCAATCCAGCAAGCGAAAAAAAACATTATTCAAAACGCAATGCGTTTGTGAGATTGCAAGAAAAAAAATTATTCGTCAAAAGGTCACGGATGACGTTTTAGTTTTTAAAAAACCTCGCCAGAGGGTTTAAGACAATACATATACGGTAAATAAGCTCAAAATTTATCATTTTACACAGTATTGTACTTTGAAAATAAACCAACTCGCAAACTGGCAGAAAATTGAATATTTTGTCAAATCATGGAGAAGAGCTTCGAGAAAACCCCTTTGAAGAAAGAAAAAGTCTTCGGTTTTAGGTTTTACAGTATAAAGAAGAATTTTTATTTCAGGCCTCGGGATGTTTTGAAAGCTTCCCTTGGACTAAAAATGTCATTGGGTCGTATTCCGAATTTATTTATTTTATTTCTTTTTATAAAAACTCGTGGTTTTTTCTTTAAACACGATTAAAAAAAAAAAAACCTCGTTCTCTTCTAAGTTTCGTGCGCTCATTCGTGCAACTTCGGAGGAAGTCGGTCATTTTTGTATCTGAAAATGCGTACACAATATTTCAAAGATAAAACTGTACAAGGAGAAAAGTAATCAACTTTGAAAAGCCTGGGAAAACATATTTGTAGCCCACTTTCCTGTTTCCAGTTTCCTGAAAAACTGACTTTCCCTCTCGGAGAGGTTGAAACAAAAGAGTGGGGAACCCTTTCAAGCCGAAGTAGGACACATTTTTGTGTTGATAAAATGCCACCAGTTCTGAAATGAGTCAGAGAACAAATGAAATACTTTAAAAGGCGGATATAAAAGGTCTTTTCAAACCGCTGGTAAAACACAGCATCTGTGCTTATCGCTGCACAAAAATCTTCCAGTATACGCAAAAGTGCTCTGGAAATTTTATTTACCGGAAGCCACAGAAAAGAAGCATACAATTCGAAGCTTTTTCGTAAATTCCGTCAGTCTGAATTGTTGAAAAAAAAAATCTGTTGTAAATTTTGCCCTCTCAGAAGAAAGGAGCAATTTTCTTTCGTGGGATAATAGATGGGACATGACTTTTTTTTTAAAGAAATCTTTTTTCAGGATTTCTGCCTCAAAAATGTTTAAATGATTCAAACTTTTAAAAACTGGATTCTCGATTATGTGAGGAAATTAATGGGAGAGATATTCGTCCCTCAAAAATTAATTTCTTTTGAGAAAATTAGTCCTCATTTTAATTCTCCTCTCGAAAAAAGAAAACAATATGATCAGTCGAATATTAAATAATAAATATCACCTCCCGGCCTGCAGGAAAAATAGATGTACTGTTCCATTATTACATTGCATGGCTTTTTGGTTAAAAATATTTTCTGAAAGTTTTTGTAACCGATTGCCGCAATCCAAATATTTGGGTTTGGGATTCCCGAGCATGTAAATAAATGATCAGCGATTCTATTCTTCCTCTGAAGATATAAGATGCCTCACAGACGAACCTCGAATTTATGGGACGAACCCCGTGATTTTCGAGACGAAAGCAATTTTCACGACGTTTTTATCTCAAATCACCATCATTCAAAAATAATCCAACATATTATTTTCCGAGCTAAATGGGCGTGTAAAGATATTTGTTCCGAAAGAGAGACGCAGATTTTGGCCTGATCGTGGTGATTTTCTCTAGAACGACACAATTTTTTCATGTTCATGAGGAGAGTACCACAAAAAAAAAACAATCAGCTAAATCATTGCAATAAAGAAGTTTGAATATAGGATTCCTGCGTCTCGTCTCCTGTGAAGAAATATAAGCGACGAAGCAATTCGTCCCCCGAAAATTCCTTTCTCCTCGAGGAAGAATAATGCTTCATATACGAGCAGTTTGACGATCCCCATTCGATCATCCGCCAGTTTTTCGGAAACATATTACCGCGAAATATCCGAGCAACAAGGGAAAAAGAAATCCCTAAAATAAAATAAAAATTTAAAACAGAAGAAGAACACCGCATTGCGGCATCACATTATCGCATCACCAACCAGCAAACAAAAAAAAATACTCGTCAACGCGCCTGCGAGTGGCATTCATCATCACGGAGCGAGGACTCGAAGCGTGGCAAATGTTATGCACATGTTCTCTCCATATCATATCCTACCCACATGACCCTGTTCGTTTCTTCCTCTGCCACCTCGAGAGAGGAAAAGGTCAACTTTCACTGCCCACCAGTTGGTTACGGTTGCGTCAACCGCTTAGGCGCAGATTTGTTTCTACAGTCCATACTATAAATTCTCGCAAACCAGCGAGAAATTATGCTTCCTTCCTGGTCGTCACCCCATGGTCCAAACGTGGCAGGGGGTTTAAAATGGGCGAGAAGAAATGAAAACAAAACGTGTTCGTGGGGGGGGGGGGGGCGATAATTTATGTCAGAGAGAAACGTCATGAAAGTCCCCACTTCCGAGAGATGAAATTGATTTTTTCTTCATTTGATTTAGATGTGGAAAACAATATGAAGCATCCAACAGTCTACATACGAGATGGTGAACTGCCTCGATTGCGTCAATTTCATCCTTGGAAAAAAAATACTGTTTATATATTTGGTCCATTTTAAGGTTATATTGGCGCTTCATTAAATTAGCAAGCATCCCTTCTATAGAGACTATCACAGAAAAAAATAACGCTGTCTCATTCGACACACTATTACGAATTTTCAATTTGACCTAATTTGCATCGCATTTTCAAGCCTAAATCGGGCTCTGAAAATAATCAACCAATTTGACACACAGCCAGCTATTGTAATTTTTTGGAACTCGCATTCATTATCATTTTAAAAGAATTTTCAAAAACAAAATCTTTGAAAGG